CCTCCCCAGCCTTCCACCTTTTGGCACTGCCAGGTATTCATCTCCGCACGCACTCCAGCGGTCCTGCCCGTCCCAAAGCCGCCCGGCCTGGCTGTCACGGCTGGTGAGTGGCATTGCTCCAAATCAGCGGACTCTCCTCCTCTCCGGTCCCTCTCTTCCTCATTGAATCTCACTTTACTAGCACTGGTCACCAAAACCCAAGAAAGGAGCTCACCATAAATCCTACTAGCGGGTGAATGATTGCTCAAACAAGTTTTGTACAAGTCACGGAGGAACAGAGGAGCATGCAGTGCAGGTGGAGGGAGGCTGGAGACAGAGCAGGACGGAGGCTGGGGACAGAGCAGGAGCGGAGCAGGACGGAGGGAGGCTGGGGACGGAGCAGGACGGAGGGAGGCTGGGGACAGAGCAGGACGGAGGCTGGGGACAGAGCAGGAGCGGAGCAGGACGGAGGGAGGCTGGGGACGGAGCAGGACGGAGTGCTGCCGGTGCCGGGCCTGCGGCTTGCCTGGAGGCTGGCAGCGTTGGTGGCAGAGCTGAAGCCTGTGCCTCCCATGGCAGAGCCAGATGACTGGGAAGCCCTCCAGGAAGAAGTTCCTTTGGGGCCAGGCTGTGGGAACAGACCCGTCCAGAGAGCACAGCAGACAAAGCAAGCAGCTAAGGCCCAGATTCCCACATTTGAGCTGTGCAGACTTGCACCCCAGCCTCAGGCCCTGGAGGACTTCTGCCGCCATTCCCGGCCTGTGCCGCCATTCCCGGCCTGTGCCGCCATTCCCGGCCTGTGCCGCCATTCCCGGCCTGTGCCGCCATTCCTGGCCTGTGCCGCCGCGGTGGCCGGTGCCTCCCTGCCGAAGCCAGCTGCTGCTCCTCACAGGGATTTAACATTTTTTTTGGGGGGGGGGTCAGTCGTGGGACTTGAACTCTGGGCTTGGTGCTGCTGCTGTCTTTTAGCTCTTCAGCTCAAGGCTAGCGCTCTACCACTTGAGCCACAGCACCACTTCTGGTTTTCTGGTGGCTTTTATTGGAGATAAGAATCTTACAGACTTTCCTTCCCTGGGCTGGTTTTGAACCGCCATCCTCAGATCTCAGCCTCCTGAGTAGCTGGGATGACAGGCGTGAGCCACCAGCGCCAAGCTCAGGATTTGGCTTGTGATCCAGCCTCTCTGGCCTTTCAGTGTAAGACTCTTCCCCAAAGAAGTCTTGCCTGCATTCCGGAGCCTGGCCCTCCCTTGCCTTCGCCACCCTTTGCTTTCCTGTTCTGTATTTTTCTGAGTCATCATTTTGTGAGTTCTCAGAAGAGGGGCGCTCAGAGCCTTTAATGATCGGGACATGGGCTCTGAGCTCCAGGAGCAGGGCCGGAACGCGGTGCTGGGCTGTGTGCTGCTCAGCGGCCATGCTCAGCTGGAGAATCCGCTAGGAGGCCGTGCTCTAGGAACCAAGGGCAGTGGCCACAGGGACAGACCTCTTGGACCTCTCATTCTCGGACAAGTGTTCATTTCGGAAGCATTGATTCACTTCCCACAGATCAAGATACTCTAGTACATCATGGCAGAAACCACGAGAAAGTTTATGAAGGTGAAATAATAGTCCCTTATCTTCTCACCCAGATATAATTAATTGCTGCTACATACTGCATTATACATGTGATGCATACATATGCACACACACATATGCACACACACACATATGAATTCTAGGCCTAGACAGGCACTCTACAGCTGAGCCAGGCCTCCAGCACGTTTTGTGCTACCGATTTTGAGATAGTCTCACTTTTCCCCCCTGGGGCCAATGCCTGGACTATAATCCTCCTATTTCTCACTGGGGATACCACCAAGCTCAGCTTCTTGCTGGCTTTTCTGCCCCCAACCACAATGCTCCCAACCCTAGCCTCCTGGTGTCTCGGGACACTGACCTTCAAAGTACAGGGGCAGGGCCAGCAGGACAAAGTTCCTGGAGACGGATGTGGTTCTCCTGGACCAGCAGCCAGCGCCATGGCTGGACAGTGGGTGAGGGGAGCAGGGGAGGGAGGAGACGGCAGCTCTGAGGGGTCGGGGCCAGCCCCAGGAGGCTGTGCAGGCCAAGCGCGACCCCAGCGATGATCACGCTGTTCCCTAGTAACAGAAGCATTTAGCTGTGACTTCTGGGTACAACCTCTCGTCCTGGCCCGTGAGGAACTCTGACACTTCAGGTGTCGGCCCCACTGGTGTCTGGGGTGGACTGGAAACACTGCCCGCCAGTCTCGGGGGTGGCGGGGTGGACCTGGAGAAGGTGTGACCCATCCTCACTTTCCATCTTCAATCCCAGAGACCCTCGCTGAAAGGCAGGTTAGACAGCTGACAAGGTCACCCGCCCCAGGTGAGGAAGGCATGGAAATGCAAATGTAATTGACCAGAAAGGCTGTTTCCCCCCAGGCACCAAGTTAAACACTTCAGAGTTTTATTCATTTGAACAGTAGCTGGGAGTGGCTGGGGATGGTTGTAATCTTGGGAGAGGCAGAGGCCAGAAGATAGGAACCCAGCCCAGGAACTCCAGGAAAACTAGCTCAAAACAAACACAAAACCCAGGTGCTGGAGTGTGCCTGAGGTGGTAGGTTGTTTACTGGCCTGGTCCAGACCAGGCCCAGTCAACCCTCAGCACTGGGGAAGCAGGGGTGGGAGAAGGCAAAAACAATTGCTGCCTGGCACATGTGTGTGTGTGTGTGTGTGTGTAACAGCAGCATGCAGGTGGTGTGAGTAAGGTTCTGAGTTCAAGGTCAGCCCAGGTTAGGAAGGAAGATCCTTCCTCAAAACACCTTTCACTTACAGATGCATCACGTGTAAGTACAGGGGCTTTAGAGTGACCACGCACTCTAATAGAAAACTCTCTTAATATTTTGTGACCCACAGAATCAAGATATGTAAATCACTATTTTTGTGTGTGTGAGAAATCTGAGTTCCCTTCTTGTATGTTTGTATTAACTGACCTTCGCCTAAGGACGATGGATGAAACCAAGTCATGCTAAGCAACAGAATTTGAAATCTGATGTAGCATCAGTCCGTGTGGATACACCTCCGTCCTGTTAACTAGCAACTTGGGAAAACACCACACATCTTCCACCACACGATCTCTTCACAGCGGCCCCTGGCAGGCCCTGCATGGAGCCAGGTCCAGACCAGACGCAGCAGAGACACGGTACCCACGGCCAGGAAACCTGCCCCCTGCAGGCGGGAGTCACAAACCCCTCGGAAATGGGAGACAGACCCGAGAAATGACACAGGGGAGGGCGTGAGTGATGGAAGTACACTAGGCTTGTTGTGGAAGCGTCCTTCCAACACCCACTCACTCATACACCATGCACAAGACTCATGAGGACAAGGAACACGGGTGTTAGACCCATGTTGGAGCAAGCGCAGTGGGTGGTGGTGCAATGCTCCTAATTCCCCGTGGAGAACAATCTTCTCCGGATCAGAAGAGAACGATCTGGTTGGGACTGGAAGCGTGAGCCTTGGGGAGGCAGGCATCAGTCCCCTGGGAAGCCACCTCGGGCTCTGAAACAAGCTGTGGGGCCCTGGCACTGCAGCCAGAACCCTGGGGAAAACTGAACCGAAGGCCACCCTTTCCAAAGGGCAGCAGATCCCAGGAGCTCCAGAATGGTGGACTGAACGGTTCAGGACCAGGAACGTCAGGGCTGCGGACGGTTGGTGAACACTTGGACTCCAAGTCTGGTTCAGAGCACCAAACCAGATGACTCCCTCCCGTGAGGACAGGCTTGCTAGAGCGCCAGCTGGGGAAATTCAAGGGCAGCAGCTTAGAGCTGAACGAGATTGCGTGCTCTTCTTCCCTGCGGAGAATCAAACTCGGCACCTCTTACACGCCAGGCAAGAGCTCCAGCACTGAGCTACACACTCAGCTCAAGACCAAAATCCAGCAGCCACGTGTGCCCCCCAAACCACGCATCCCACGCGACTCTCCCCGGCCAGGCTGCTGCCCAGGAGGGAGAGCACACGGGCCAGTGCAGGGACAGCGCGGCCCTGCTGCCCACTCGCTCCAGTGGGGGAGAGAGGCGATTTCTCTCCTGTTGCTCTGAATTCTTACTCTTTTTCCATCTTCTGTGGACTTACAGGGAAGTCAGGGAAGTGAAAACGACTTTCTTGTGCCTGTTCTAGCAACATACAGGTGCAGTTTTGGGTGACATTTAAGGTGCTGTTTGCAAACCGGAAGATACCCCCAACCATGTGAGGGCTGGGTGGGTGGCCACTGGGGAGGGGGAGGGGGGAAGCTGCCCGCCCTCTGCAGGCAGGCGCTGGCGGCGGGTTCCATTGGACAGGGGAAGCGGGGGTCCAGGGTCTCACACAGAAGAGCTGGAGCTCTGGGAGCTGGGAGGGGCTCCTCCTCCGAGCAGAGGTTGGCAACCTGGGGCCACAGGCCTTCGTCCTGGCCTACGCAGACGCCACCGTCTGCGTACTGCCCAGCGGCATGGCTGACTGCTTTCACTGGAGGGCACAAGGCTCACCAAGCCCCCACGGGTTCCCATCTGGCCCCTTACAGGAAAACGTGCAGGTGTGAAGTCTAGACCCAGGAAAGGCACAGCCTGTGGTGGGGACCCTCAGGAGGGAGGAGGAGAGCTCTCTGGGCTGGGACCTGGGCCGGAAGCCTGAAGTGCTGGGATGGAAGGGGCCTTAGGGACTGACGGGCCGGACCTCCCATCCTCCTGCCCTTCGGCGCTGGCAGCTCATCAACGACGTCCAGCACAAGCACTGGTAATCAAAAGTGTTTTAATGATTAACGTTCAGACATCACGTAACAGTGTGTGTCTCCAGACGAGCTAGCACACTTCGCAGCACACCAGTGGGCGTTGGAGTCCCTGCACCGGGGCAAAGACATCGCAAGCTGAATGCCCACGACTGAAGCCACACTCACAACTGGACAACGGGACGCGCTCTGGCAGATGGAACCTCCCACTCACCGAGCCGCAGCTCCCCGGGCAGCAATGTGCAAAATGAAAGCACGTAAACTCACAGTCCCATCAACATCAAACCCACAGTCAGTTTATATGTTGTCAACGACCATCTCTATGCGTCGCAAGTGGTTCAATGAGCTGTTTCCAATGCAGAAGGGACGGGGCGGTCAGCACGTTAACAGCGCACACAATGGGCTTTATGACCAGCGGTCACAATGTTTGAACAAGTGGTCCCATGAATCTTCAGATCGTAAGCGGAAGAAGTGGCGGAGATGGCAGATTTATGCTCAACAAGAAATCGCTGTCCAATCAGCTGTGCGTATGCTGTTCCTATCTGCTTAATTTTACCCCATGTTTTTAAAGGTTCTTTTCCCTCTCTTATTAATCAATTTTTAGGGGACCAGGCACATTTCAAAGGCAGTTTGGGTCAGACCGGTACAGACACGATTGCAGATGTGGAGTCTGGCCTTCAGCTCCCTCCGCTCACCTGCGGCGTCTGCCAAACCAGAAATGCGCCCTGGTCCTGGGAAGGTCACCTCCTCTCCTGCACTGCAAAGCAAACGCGGCTTTTTGTTCCCTGCATTAAAAACACTCAGTGCTTCAGAAATTAAAAATGGCCTGCTTGCCCTACACGCGTTCCAGAATCTTGAGGACAGAGACTCTATATTTAAGGTTCATCAAGACTGCTCCGCAGCGCCCCTCCCCCGCTCTCTTGCATTATCAATAGTGGCACTCAAAATAAAAAAATAACATCTGTTAAAAAGTTAAACCAACTGTTCCACCAAGGTTGAGCCTGCTTGGCTGAAAGCTCGGATCACAGAACTGAAGGCGCCGTTCCTGATGACGCACCCTCAAGAAACCAGAGCTGCTGGCGCACACCGGCTTCCTCCCCTCACGGTCGGTGATTTCTTTTTTTCTGAACAGAGCTATTACAAATGAATACAAACTTGAAACCTATCCTAATTGGAACTAGTAAGCTTTGGGCCCTGCTTTTTAAATTGTAAGGCATGTGTGTTTCTCTACTGTAAGGACATTATACAAATTTACATTTACAATCACATGCATGATCAACAGTTTAAAAAAAAAGTTTGGATTACAGTGTTTTTAAATTGTGAACCACAATTCAGCACCTATCATGTTATAACTAATAAGGCAACAGCAGTGTCACACACTACAGTAATTCCCTTCCACAGTCTAGCGCGGCGGGCGGGCAGGCGGGCGGGGTCAGTGAGGTCCTGGAAATGTGCGGGATCTGATGCCTACTTGTGTAATCTGCGGAGGAACTCTAGGGGTTTGGAATGGATGAAAAGGGTCCTACACGAATCGACTACTGCAGGCCCAAGTCGCAGTGGCTGTCGCTGTCGGCGGGTGTCAGGGCGCGACTCTACTGTGCTTACAGTCACACGTGTGTCTGGCTGTGGGCGTGGCCGTTTCAATCCTTCCGCAGCTTCCGGGGCTTGGCACTGCCGTCCAGGGGGGAGAAGCTGCTGGCGTGCCCGTTCACAGCAGTCACGGACCCGTTCTGGTGGTCTTTCAGGTAGTCTTTCCTCCGAGAGGCCCCCTTCTTGTTGTAAGTCTGAAATGCATAAGGACAGGTGAACCACAGGGGCTCCAGCCACCCGTCCCCCAGAGGACCGGAGCACTGAACGGTGAGCACAGCCCTAGCCAGACCTACCCTTTTAGATCCATGATTATCAAGAAGCTGGGGAAGCCGAACTGTGGCTCAAGCAGCAGTGCTCACCTGAGCTGAAGAGCTGAGGGACAGCACCCAGGCCCAGCGCTCAAGCCCCACAACCAACAAAAACAAAACAGCAGGGGCTGGGAAGGTGGCTCAGTGGTAGAGCGCTTGCCTTGCATGCCTGAAGCCCTGGGTTCGATTCCTCAGCATCACATAAGCAAAAAGAAAAAAGCTGGAAGTGGCGTTGTGGCTCAAGTGGTAGAGCGCTAGCCTTGAACTGAAGAGCTGAGGGACAGCGCCCAGGCCCAGAGTTCAAGCCCCACGACCGGACCCAAAAAAACCAAAACAAAAAAACAGAACAGCAGCAGGGCTCCAGGGCCAAGGAGTGTCTGGCTTTGCGCACTCGCTTCAGCAGCCTAAGTTCTCCGTTACCACAGGGGCCGTGCCAAGCTGACCACTACAAACACTCCAGGAACATTCCCATCTGTCCGCTCTGCTCTGCCCACGTGGCGGGGGACAGGGCCTTGTGGGCTGGCTGCTTGTGAGTCCCACAGAATACAAATGTGACGCCGGGCGCCAGTGGCTCACGCCTGCAACCCCAGCTACTCAGGAGGCTGAGATCTGAGGATAGCGGTTTGAAGCCAGCCAGGACAGCAAAGTCCATGAGACTCTTCCCTCCAATAAGCTACTCAAGAAAGCTGTGGTTCAAGTGGTAGAGTGCTTGTCTAGAGCAAAAGAAGCTCAGAGACAATGCTCAGTTCAATCCCCAAGACTGGCAGAAAAAAAAAAAAAGATGCCGAGGGGCACACGGGGCGCCCCCGGGACCCAGTCTCCTGTGTCTCCCACACCGCGGGCAGCCAGCCAACACGGCGCTGCCGCCCGCAGGGCCACAGGCACAACCCTCAGGTGGACAGGCCTCTGCGCACACCCGCACGCGTGCGGCCCGTGTGCACGCGCCCATCTCCACAGCCAGAGCCGCGAGGCACGCGAGAGAGAACAGGACGAAGTCACAATTGAGCCATGTGCAGGGCAGAGAGAAGGGCGTGGTTTACCTGGATGTAGAAGTTGGTGAAGAGCGCGATCAGGGAGATCATGTACCCGATCTGGAAGTAGAGCCAGCCAAGCGGGAAGGAGCACCGCCACAGCACCCCACAGCTCGTCTGGATGATGGTCAGCACAAACTGCACCTGGAGAGGCGGAACACAGCAGCCCAGCTCAGCTCCGCGTCAGCGCTGGAGGGAAGGAGCGCGGCTCTGTTCTGGATGCGATAATGACACGACCCTCACGTGGAAGGCTTTCGCAGTGTAATTTTCAAGTACTGACCAGGAAGGACTGCCCGTGTGGCGGGGGGGGGGGGGGGGGGGGGGGGGGGAGGACCTCTGGCCACACCCCAGCAGCCGGCTGGGGGCTGTTTCTCAAGGTTCCACCTGCGTGTGAAATCAGGTTCCTGAACCACCCACGCAAAACCCTTGCTCCGCCAAGTGCGGACACTGGCTCAATGTCCATGGCTGTTGTTACAGTCACAGCCCGGGAGCCTGAGGTCTACCGACACTGAGGCGACAAGAGGGATGGACCCCAGCGCCGGCACTGGCTGGCCTGTGCCCGGCTCGGCAGACCTCGGCCAAGCTCTGCTCACCAGCAGGTGCTCCAGCCACGGGGGGCAGGGCTGCCGGCACGGCTCAGCCAGCACCCTCACCAGCCTCGGCCGCTCACCAACACTGCTGGGGACACGGCCTCCCACTGGATCCTGGACTCATGGCCAGAGCACGCGCGCACACACAGGGGTGTGGATCCGGGCTCAGCACACTCAGGTGCTGTGTGTGGACATGCTCGGAGCCAAGCCCGGGACGCCAGGCCAACCCCAAGGCACAGCCCCCACTGATGGCTGCCCGCTGCCAGCCGCTCGCGGCGCCCGCGGGGCGGATGCGGGGGACGCAGGCCCCACCGAGGCGGGAGCCCCCGACACTCACCAGCTGCCCCTGCCAGCCGCTCGCGGCGCCCGCGGGGCGGATGCGGGGGACACAGGCCCACCGAGGCGGGAGCCCCGACACTCACCAGCTGCCCCTGCGTGATGTACTTCTTCCACCAGAGGTACGGGCGCATGGAGGGCACGGAGGACAGGCCGTAGTACGAGTACATGAGCACGTGGATGAAGCTGTTAAGCGTGGCACCGAAGTAAGCTGGGCAACGGAGAGGACGTGGGAGGAAGACGTGTTAGCATTTGCTGCGAGGGATAATCCAGAGCGATGCAAACCTGCCTGCTGCGTGCGCTGCGTGGCTGTCTAAAGACCACTTCACCAGGCCACTCCAGCACCCGCGGCCTTGGCTCCCAGACTGTCCCACCTCCCAAGCCAGGGCTTTGCCTTCCACGCCCAGCTGCCGGATGTGCTAGTCTGAAGGCGGCGGCGGGGGGGGGGAGGGGGAGGCAGAGGTGCTGGTCTGAAGGCAGGGGCGGCCATCAGCGATGGGCTGGGAGCTGGCGCCTGGCTCCCGCAGCGGGTGCGGTGTGGACACTGGGAGGGTGCCTTCTGGTGCTCTCTAGCTGCAGTACTGACACCATGGCTTTTATTAATCACAGAGCCCAGAGTCCGGCCCACCTCTCCGTGACGTATTTCAGGAGGACCTCTTGCTTTGCTCCGCTTCTCTGCCCTCCCCAGTAAACACAGCCGCCAGGCTGCTGGCCTTTCTGAATGCAGCTCACACACAGGCTATAGGAGGAGTTGCTATTGCTGCCAGTGGCCCTGAACACGTCTTGGCTACTCACGGACTGAGCCTCCTCCTTCTGGCCAGGGCAGTCACAGCCATGACCAGTGAGGGAACTGGGGGGACACGTGCGGGGAGGGGGTGCATGCGGGGGGGGGCGCGTGCAGGGCATGGGGGGAGGGAGACCCACCGCCCCAGGGTCTCCACCCCCCCCCCACCCGATGGACTTTCCCCTACCGTCTCATGGCTGTGGACCTGGGCAGACTGAGTGAAATCAGTCATCCCAGGAAGAAAACAGCCAAGGTTCTCAGTGGACTGTTCAGTGTGGAGACACGGCTCAAACCTCGATCTGAACCTAAAGCGATCAGACTCTGAGCCATAAGATATGCAAACGTCAGACCTGACCCAGGAGATGTGAGCGCATCATGATCCTCGTTGTATCTCATGCCACCTGGGCGAGGAGCAGCAGGACTGGTCAGCACGTGCCGCTAGAACCACCTCACCCCTAGCCACGCCTGCCGCCTGGCGCGCCACTGCCCCTACTTCTCAGTCAGTATGGGCCCCATCAGGCTGGGCACTGGCCACACCAGTACCACCAAAGCAAATGGGGCTCGACCTGCAAGTCCACAGAAACAGCACCTTTTGGGAGAGCCTTGTGCCCACCCCCCGCCCACAGCGACACTTACAGTGACCACAGGGGACCCAGTTCATCACGAACCACCAGATGTTGAGCATGGAGGCGTGGTGGTAGACGTGCAGCACGGTGATCTGGTGGTTGTTCTTGCGCAGGATGAAGAAGAAGGTGTCCATGAACTCTATGAGCTTGGAGAAGTAGTACCACCAGAGCACGCGGATGATCTAGAGCACAGGCGGGGTCAGAGGACAGCCAGAGTCCAGCACCAACCCGGACAAGCTCAAGGCCCCCCTCAGTGAACCGAACCCCCGGCCTCTCAGCAGGGGTCAGATTCCACCTCTAACACAACCATTCCCGGGGCATGTGCACGAGCGCTTTAAGCTCTTATGGTCTTATTTATATAAATACATTCCCTGGAATTATTATTATTTTCATGGGGCTTGAACTCTGGGCCTGGGTGCTGTCTCTGAGCTCTTCAGCTCAAGGCAAGTGCTCTGCTACTTGAACCACAGCACCACTTCCAGTTTTCTGGTGGTACATTGGAAGTAAGAGTCTCACAGGTGTTCCTGCCTGGGCTGGCTTTGAACTGTGATCCTCAGATCTCAGCCTCCTGACTAGCTAGGATGACAGACGTGAGCTACTGGCTCCTGGCTTCCCAGAGTGGGAAGCCTGTTTCCTCTTTCATACTCATATAATATTTTCCTATCTTATGAATATAGATAGAATCTGTCAGGGACTAGCTGGGTGGAGAGGTTATGGTCTATTGTCTTTTATGTAATTTCTTTTCTAAAACCAAAAATCAAAACCCACCCCCACTCCAATGGACACCTTTTAAGGAGGAGACCTACCTTCATGTCGGATTCACCCGCACTGCGGGTGCCTTGGCAGAAGAAGTTGTATCTTCCTTCCCACACTCCTGTCACTAACTGAGGGAGGGAGAGGGGGAGGGAGAAAGAGAGAGAGAGAGAGAGAGAGAGAGAGAGCATGTGTCACCACGAGAGCCCCGTGGGCCCCTGCTGGCCAGGCCTCGCTGTCCCCGGCTGTGAACAAAGCTGTGTGCTGATGGTATCGTCACTGGTTTTTGGAGGCCTGGACTCAGGATCCCCTGGCCTTGGCCTTGGCGCCCAGCTCCAGAGGAAGTCTGAAATGCGCGGCCTCTAGTTCCAGAAGGGGCAGCAGACTCAGTGGGGGTCAGCGAGTCACCTCCAGTGCCCTCTCGGGACAATGTGTGGTCCATCATGCCTGAGGTCCTGCCCAAGTGTCCAAATCAATCCAATGACAGGTTGCTATTCAGTCTTGAACTGTGTTCCACCAGACAGCCTTAATACTCTGCCTCGTCTCCCACGAGTTCTTCAGACGGGTGGGCTGTGGCTGTGGGTAGGGACGTTTCCCACCCCAGAGGTCATCCCTACAACCACATGTGGAAACACTGCCGGGGCCTGGGGGCGGTGCTGCCCCTCCTCCTTCCTCATTACTCCTGCCATCTTCCCCACACATGCGCCAGACCCAGGGAACGGGGAGGCTGCGGGTCCCAGGGAGAACCACAGCACGGGCGCAGGCTGGCACCGCGCGGGGCTCGTGGCGCCTGAGACACGCTGCTCGGTTCTGAAACTGTCGCTCACTGCCTGTCGCCTCCTTCCAAAGCCCAGCACCATCTGCAGTGTCTCCGCTGACGGCCTGGGCCGGCGGAGGCACCGGCCTCGGCTCTCCAGTGTGGCCCCGTCCCACGCCATCACACACAATGTCATCAACACCCTAACTCCTCAGGACCCCAAACCCTGGGGCCGAGGGGGCCAGGCCCGGATGCTGAGGACCAGAATTTCCGGGTGGGAAGCCTGCAACTGGTGAGTGAAAACCCTTGTGAGTGACGCTGTGGTCTTCTCGCCCTGGCTGCACAGCAGGTCTGCCTGCGAGCGCTGAAGGCTCACCCATGCTGGGTCCTGCCCTAACCAGCACACAGGCTCTTCAGAAACCTCTTAACTCGTGTGACCTGCCTGGGGACAGGGGTTGCTGCGCTTGGGGAAGCGGCGGCGTGCTCCGGGGCGTGAGACGGAAGCAGCCTTTCCACCATTGTGGGAAGGGAGCCAGGGCAGCGGCTGCGGAAGTCACAACAAAAGCCAGACACCTTACGGGCCCGCCGTGCCACGCTCAGACACGCATCAGAATCCACCTACGAGACATAGCTGCATACCCGTGATTTAGGGCCACGCTGGGAAAGCAGCCAGGATGCCCAGCAACTGAGGTGTGGATGTGGAACACACTCAGCCATAAACAAGAATGGGATCATTTTCAGTTCAGCATGTTGAGTGAGATGCGTCAGGCTCCAAAGACAAATACCACGTTTTCACTCTCACGTGGACTCTAATAAATGTGCCACACCGGTGACTGGGGAGGGGCCGGGTTGGGGGGGCTTGGGGTGAAGGGCACCGAGTGCACCACTGTTTGAAGGGGTGCTCCCTGGAGTCCGCAGCCCGCACCTGCTCCCCTCCACCTGCCACCCCACCCCATCTGCTCCTAGCTGCCCTCTAGCCCAGGCAAACACACCTGTCCTACGTGAACACACCTGCCCTACGGTGACCGTACCTGTCCTGTGACGAATGACTGCCCTATGGTGAACGCACTCCAGCCTGACGAGACTCGGAAAGGGACTTTCACACAGGAAGTCTGTTTTCTTTTTTCTTTTTTTGTCGGTCGTGGGGCCTGAACTCTGGGCCTGGGCGCTGTCCCTCAGCTCTTCAGCTCAAGGCTAGCACTCTACCACTTGAGCCACAGCACCACTTCCGGCCTTTTCTGCTTATGTGGTGCTGAGGAATCGAACCCAGGGCCTCATGCATGCAAGGCAAGCACTCTACCACCGAGCCACCTTCCCAGCTCCCCCCCACCAGGAAGTCTGAAACAAAGAAGTTCAAGGCACTGGGTTTATTGCTCCCAAATGTAGGCCAAATGTTTCATCTGCAGAAAAGACAAAAGAACATTTCATGTTTGCTTTGCAAATGAACAAATCAGAATACCAGAAGATACTTCAATGAGGCTTGAAGTTAACGAGGGGCATCTGAATTCTGCTCATGAGAAGGCAAACTCTTTGTCCAGCCCACAGGAGCGCCTGAAGGGAGAACACACCAGTCACCAGCAGACCCCCGGGGGGGCGGGCGGGGGAGTTGTGAGCCCACTGTGCAGTGAGCTGGGGGGGGGTAGGGGGCACAGCAGTACCCTCCCTGGGCTCCTGACAATCAGTTCAGGAGGCAGCACTGCCGCAGCAGGAGCAACTCATACGCACAGCTCACCACCTTCGCAACCTGCATGCTCTGAAGGCCACGCACTCCCCGGAGCCATACTTACAAGGCTTTCCCCAGGGAGTGAGAGACAAGCAGCGCCCTGCAAAACCGTATGTGCAAGCTCCCTCCTGAGCAGAGCCAGCCTCAGTGAGCGCAGGCCGGCCTGTGCCAGCCGCCACAGCCTGCGTCCCTCTCTAGGAGGAGACCCAATGAGCAACAGCGCCTTGTGCCCAGGCAGGTGAGCTCCCTGCCAGGCCCGGTGACGTCATTCACAGTAAGTCATCTTCAACAGGGAGGGCAGACTTTTCCCACCTCGCATCAGATTTAACCACAAGTGAGCTCCAACCTCTAGTGTGGCACTTTCTGGAATACTACCTAAGTGTCTTAGCAAACGAGGTCACCCGAAACAAAGCCTGGACAGAGAAACACCGCCGCGGTCCTTACCGGCCGCCCTCAGCCCCGCCCAGGTGTCGCCCAGGTGCGCCAAGGCCGCTACGTCTCAAGCGCCGGCGGCTCTCAAAGCAGCTGGTGAGCTGGGTGGTATCACTCTCTAAGCAGAGGTGCAGTGACAGGCAAGGGGCACTCTCACGCTCGAATTCAACGGTACCACAGGAGGAGAGGCACTTTCTTTTCTTCTGCTTTTATCAGTCATGGGGCTTGAACTCTGGGCCTGGGCGCTGTCCCTCAGCTCTTTAGCTCAAGGTGAGCGCTCTACCACTTGAGCCACAGCGCCACTTGGGGCTTCTTCTGTGTATGTGGTACTGAGGAATCGAACCCAGGGCTTCCTGCATGCGAGGCGAGCGCTCGATCGCTGAGCCACACCCCGTGCTCATGTGCGCAGGGCTGCTATTTCTTGCGGCCTGGCTTCTTTCCATGGGTAGATTATTTTCCCTTCTGGCCCTGATGTTTGAATTTAGGGTCTCACGTTTGCCTGCCTGGCGCTCTGTCACTTGAGCCACACCTCCAGCCTGGCGTTTGGCTGGTTATTTTGGTTGGTGGGGTCTGACAGACTTCTGTGCCTGGGCTGCCTTCAGATCTCAGGTGCTGAGTCACTGGACACCCTTCCAGTGACTCCAGTTTTCCGTGTGGCACAGCTCTGTGGTGAATAAGGAACGGGGGAGGGGAAGTGGTGAGGGTGACCCCATGTGGCCCGCCTCCCCCAGGGCCAGGGGGTCACTTCTAACATCATCTGCGGGCTGCACAGCCACACCAACTTGGGCAGCTGACAGACACCATGCCTGTCTGTCCTGTCCCCACCACGGCTAGCAAGACCACCGCAGGGCGCTCTGCACGTGAAGACAGCGCAGGAAGTAGATCGCTAGTGGTCGCTTTATCCTCAGCAGATGGCTACTTTAGAAGTTCACCAGCAACGGCTGCAAAGTTAAAAGCAGCCATTCATTTCCTCCGTTTCAGCACCACTGTGAACCACAGCCAGGCTACAGCATGTGGCTTCAGATGCCCGGAGCACGAGGAGGTCTTGGAGGTAGCTGCACCTGCCGCCCTGCAGACCATTCGCTATGGTGAAGCCATAAGAACAGAACCGGTCGGAAGACTTGAGAAGGCCTCAGGCCAGGCTCCAGGGCCGCCTGGCATCCTGTGCCCAGGCCAGCCCTCCCACGCGGAGGTGCCAGCCGCAGGCTTCCTGGAGCCTCTCTGGAGGAAGGTGCTGCCACAGCCCTGACCGTCCAGCGAGGACGCACAGAGCCAGGATTCTAGTCAAATGTCCGACCCCTGTGCTTCCTGTTCCTGAAGGCCCAGAACAAGGGTGGAAGGGAGCTTCCCAGAGGAGACATCTTGGGCCTCAGCAGCTCACACCCAGGGTCCGGACTGCAAGGTCAGCCCCGGCCTGTGTTGGTGGGGAGGGTGGCAACAGGCTGTGGAGCAGACCCGCTGGCAAAGCCTTTCCTCCCTCCCCCCACAGGCAGGCCAGGAGCTCTCTCTGAGCAGGGGCTCAGCGGGGGAAGGGCACACCACTATGAGCAACCAGGGCTGTTCGGCCACAACGAGGTCTTCCCACCAGATGCTTCTATAGCTCTCTAAACAGAAAACAAAAGAGCAAGAAGGACTTTTTCAAGTATTTTTGGAAACATAATATGTTGTCAAACCGATCAATTGAAAGGTTGTTTGAATGTTTTTCCTATGATAACATCTATTTTAGCAAAGCTTGAAGGGGAAGAAGAAGAAGCCAGCTTCAAAGCAACTGCTCTGTGGTTCCATCCAGGACTCTGACCCGGGGCCCCAGGGCCACTGGGTGTCTGGGGAGCTGTCTTAGCACCCCACGATGCAAGGCAAAACATCCAGCTCATCAAACACTCAATTTCTTTCACCTTTTCAATAAAGCAGTCTCTGAAATCTCTAAGTTCTGGTTATGACGTCATGATGACGTGAAGAGTAGTAGAACCAACTCCTCCATAGCAAACCCTCAGGCCACGGGAGGCCACCAAAAGGCCCACACCACAGATGCTTACCACAGGGTGAGCCTTGTTTGTTTCCCTACCTCTCAAAACGATTTTTTGTTTGTTGTTCTGAAAACCGTGGTGTCACCACATCCACTCAGGTGGGACACCCCCAAACCAGTCCTGATACTCTTGCCCATGGAGGGACAGGTCAGCACCACAAGGAGAAGACCTGGCCCTGGTGAGCCTGGATTT